ACATACAAAAGAAGTAGAGGAAAATGACAATAGTAAGGATTAGGAAAGAAAAAGCAGCAGTTCCCTGTTGCAGTTCAGGCACAGTTATGAGCATGACATTGATAAATCAGCCCATTTACAATTACAATTCTACTGTGCATAAGAACATGGTTAATGTCCCCCCTTTGGGATTGGATGGCCTAAAGACACTTCAGTGAGTGGCACCGCCCTGAGGGGTTGCAGGGATTTAAACCAGGGCCATCTGCACGACAGCCCCTATGATACCAACTGAGCTAACAGTGTGCCCGGATAGTCAGGACAGAGCAATAAGTGTAGAAAGAAGACAGAAAGCAGCCACAACATACCTCAGCAGATTTGATGTAGGCAAGGGTCATCTTCATGTTGTTTTCTTCAAAAATTTTCGCAGCGCTGAAAGGGAGAAAGGGACAAAAATCATAAACTTTATACTCGGCTACACACATCAGACCCAAAGGATTCATTGAGGATCTGAAAGCTTTCCGGAACTCGTGTGTAGAGCCAGCAACAACAAAAGTCAACAGAGCAGAGCAGCTTTAATTCTCTTTTTATATTGAATTTTAATGAGAGTAATATACAATTTAAATTTTTTATGTATGCCTGCATGTGTTTTTACGGTCCTGTACAGCCAAAGAAAATTTCCCTCTGGGATAATAAAGTACTATCTTATCTTATCTTATCTTGTCTTGTCTTATCTTATCTTATCCTTCCATCTCTGAACAGCACAAGACCATTTACCGTCTCTGGAAAAAACAAGTCTGTATTAAAAAATACCCTGTGTCACTCCATCCCACCTGAGGTGATACATCCATCTGAGGTGATACTCTGTGTAACTCCACCCACCTGAGGGGATACCCTGCGGTACACCACCAACCTGAGGTGATACATCCACCTGAGGTGATACCCTGCGGTACTCCACTCACCTGAGGTGATACCCTGCAGTACTCCAGCCACCTGAGGTGATACATCCACCTGAGGTGATACCCTGCAGTACTCCACCCACCTGAGGTGATACCCTGTAGTTCTCCAGCCACCTGAGGTGATACATTAATCTGAGGTGACATCTTGCGGTACTCCACCCACCCGAGGTGATACCCTGCAGTTCTCCAGCCACCTGAGGTGATACCCTGCGGTACAGTGCTCCACCCACCTGAGGTGATACATCCATTTGAGGTGATACCCTGTGTTACTCCACCCACCTGAGGTGATACCCTGCAGTACTCCACCCACACACCCGAGGTGATACCTCGCAGTACTCCACCCACACACCCGAGGTGATATCCTGCGATACTCCACCCATCAAAGGTGATACCCTGCGGTACCCCACCCACCCGAGGTGATACCCTGCGGTACCCCACACACCCGAGGTGATACCCTGCGGTACCCCACCCACCTGAGGTGATACCCTGAGGTACTCCACCCACCTGAGGTGATACTCCAACTGGTCAGCTTGCTTGTGCAGTCTCAGGCTCTCAGGAGACTCGGAACTCCCACTGCAACAAAACAACGATGTATCAACATTTTGCTACTTTTTCCCCCCCCCACGCAGTATAAAAAAAACCACATCAATTTTTGTTTGTTCAAGTAAAGAGTCAAGGAGAAGGGACACAGCCGGACAGAGGCTCAAGACGGAGGTGGTTTTAGTTTTACTTTAAGTAGAGGTTTTACGGCGCTCGCAACTACATAAGGTCATATGAGCGCCAAGGGGTGGATGTCAACAGAAAAGTCCTTACAGGGAATCAGACTTACTCTGCTCACCTCTCTAGCTTCAACAGCACAAAGTCTGCTTCGACTATCAAGGCATCCCGGAAATAGCGGGTCACAAGAGTGTGACAAACATACAAAAGAAGTAGAGGAAAATGACGATAGTAAGGATGAGGAAAGAAAAAGCAGCAGTTCCCCCTATGTTGTTCCAGCACAGTATGAGCATGACATTGATGAATCAGCCCATTTACAATTCTACTGTGCATAAGAACATGTTAATATCTCCCCTCTGAGAATGGCTAAAGACACTTCAGTCAGTAGCACTGCCTTGTAGGGGGGGAAGGGGCGTTGTTTGAGTAAGTTTTACAGCATTTGCAACAATATAAGGTCATATAAGTGCCGAACATTAGAGGTGTTACATGAGAGTAACATACACAATAAAGAAGGAGCAGAGATAAGGACGATAGATGTTTGATAGGAAAGACGTAGGAAACCACACCAGAGCACCCGCCAACCACCCACTACAATGAGCAATGAACAATGAAACATTGAACAATGAAACAATGAACGATGAACAATGAAACAATGAGTAACCCCCCACAAAGGTAAACTACTCACTCTGAGTGGTGGGCCGGTAGACATTTGAAGATCTCTGTGGCCACGTGCAGCTGATCATCTCTACAAAAAGGAACAAAATACAAACAGGTAATAAATTGTAATAAATTCTTTTTTCTTTCCAATGAAGCTGTTTTTACACTGCCATCAACACAATTTAGATTATTTAGGAGGCGGGCTTCCGACCTTGCTTGTCAACCTGGGCCGAGAGGGATACAACATCCCGGCAGAAAGACCGAGATACTTGATAAAAATTATCTCCCCACTCCTCGGGAATCAAATTTGGGTCTCCTGCATGAGACAGCAAAGTGCCTAACTGCTTCACCACACTTCTGTAAAGTAGTTTCCATAGTTCTATTGCCAGAGGAATAAAAAAAAAAAATGAATAATGGATTGCATTTATATAGCGCATATCCACTTATGCAATGCTCTATGCGCTTAACATGATACATATAATGGATTTACAAATCAATTTTAAAGGTACATAGTGTTACATACTCGTGCAAACACATATTCACTCACGCACGCACCACACACACACACACATACACACATACGTACATATGCACATACGCACATACAAACTCACAACGATCTACAGCTTGGATGGATTCTGTCTAATCGAAATATGATGAAAATAGAAATGCTTTTAGCTTCTTCTTAAAACCGTAAAACTTACCTGAGGGTACTACAAACAAACAAAAACATCTATTATCTATTTGTGGTGGCCGAATGTTGCTATTCAAAAGTCTTTTTAATGGCTGCATCGATCGACATGCGGTTTTCGCCAAAAGATTCTTTAAAATATTCTCCAGATCATGACGCCCTTGGTTTTTTCAGTTTTGAGACAGTTTTGCTGCAAAAAGCTAAATTTCTTTATTTCGCCGGTCGCTTTTGTAGGCCGACGCTTCGTCTCTGTAATTTTAGAAAACCCGGAAGTGCTATTTCTCGAGGCGCATTTTGTTTTGAGAGTATAGATCTCGACCTTCTAATTTTTTGCATCTTTCAAGATTTATTGCTCCATTCCTGTAGAGTGTAAATATAGTAGGCCAATGACTTTCAGTTGATGTTAATGCACCCATCATTCCTTTCATGGAAAGGGGGCCCAGCTAGTTCTTTCTAAAGCCAATATCTTAAATAAAAGAAGAGGAACAAATCACACAGTTCTTGATTGTAAACACTTATGACACCTCATACTCTTTGAGTGGGAGACAATTCTAGAAATGTCCATCAGTTTAGGCATCCTCACTCTCACCTCTCAGTTTAGTTTTAACAAGAGTTTTACGGCACTTACAAACACAGATAGGTCATCAAAAAGAGCTGAAGATTATAGTTGTTATTAGAGAGTAACAACATACATAGAAAAGAAGGAGGAGAGATAAGGACAATAGATGTTTGATAGGAGAGAAGGAGGAGAGATGAGGACGATAGATGTCTGATAGGAGAGAAGGAGGAGAGATAAGGATGATAGATGTTTGATAGGAGAGAAGGAGGAGAGATGAGGACGATAGATGTTTGATAGGAAAGGAGGAGAGATAAGGATGATAGATGTTTGATAGGAGAGAAGGAAGAGAGAATGAGGACGAGAGATGTTTGATAGGAGAGAAGGAGGAGAGATAAGGATGATAGATGTTTGATAGGAAGGAAGGAGGACAGATGAGGACGATAGATGTTTGATAGGAAAGGAGGAGGAGAGATAAGGACGATAGATGTTTGATTGGGGAGAAGGAGGAGAGATAAGAACGAGAGATGTTTGATTGGGGGGAAGGAGCATAGCTAAGGACACCAGAGCGCCCGCCAACCACCGAAACTCTCACCTCTCACACGAGTACAAAGTGTCCAGCACCAGAGACATGAGCTCTGTGGCCGTGCGGATCACTGGCGCCGACACCTAGAAGAGAAAAAAAAACGTGTGTCAGTCTTCCAGTTTCAGTAAGAGTTTTACGGCCCTAGCAAACACGATAAGGTCATACAAATGCCGGAGATTAGAGGTGTTACTAGAGACTTACATACACAAAAAAAGAAGAAGGAGGAGGAGAGATAAGGATGACAAATATTTGATAGGAAACAAGGAGCAAACCCCACCAGATCACCCACCAACCACCCACATGTACAAGTTTAATGCAGCTATCAACCTGTTAGGTTATTAAAAAATATAAATATAAAATGTTTAAAATTTGGTTTACTGAATCGGCTCGACGTTTCGTAACGTAGGCTTCCTCAGGAGCAACTCATCATCACCATCATCATCATCATCATTATCATCATCATCACCATCACCATCATCATCACCATCATCATCATATCATATCATCATCATCATCATCATCACCATCATCATCACCATATCATCATCATCACCATCATCATGTCATCATCATCATCATCATATCATTATCATCATCATCATCACCACCATCATCATCACCATCATCATTATCATCACTATCATCAACACCATCATATCATCATCATCATCACCATAACCATCATCACCACCATCATCATCATGTGCTTTCCTCACCCTGCATCAAGGTATAGGTCACAACCAAACATTTTCCACATTTCCCAATCCCGATCTAAACTTCTTGATTTTCTTCCACGTCTGCCCACTTTTCTATATATCATTCTCTGAGACTCTTCTCCAGGTTCCACCTGGTCTTCCCCTTCATCTCTTACCCTTTGAATTCCAATTTGCCAATAGGTAACATAATTTGCGACAACCTCAGTGCTTTCTTGTCGTATCTCCATTTTTTTTCAACAGTGAAAACGTGACATCTTCTTAAGCTCACTCTTTGTTACGAACTGTTTCCACTGTTATAAAAAATGGAGCTATGACAAGAGAGCACCGAGGTCGCGATACATTATAGAAAGACTTACGGAGGCCTTGGACTCCTCAAATATCTTCAGAACACTGGAGAGGTCATTCCTTGCTCGAGTCAGGATAAAATCTCGGAGCAGCCGGTCGTAGGCCCCGGGCTCTCTCTGCTCGCAGCGGAGAAGGTAAGGGACGGTCCAGCGCCGCAGGTTCTTGGCACACATCTCCTCACTCGACTGGAACACACACAGAGAATTGTGGGTAGTGAGAAGCACGTTGACAAGACAACGGTCGTTAAAAGCAGGCAAAAAATAAGACAGACAGTTTTTTGGGGGTTTTTTTTTTTAGTAGAGGGTTTTATGACGTTCGCAACTGCATAAAGTCATATGAGCGCCAAGGGGTGGTTGTCAACAGAGAAGTCTTTACAGGGAATCAGACTTAGACTGCTCACCTCTCTAGCCTCAACAGCACAAGGTCTGCTTTGACTATCAAGGCATCCCGGAAATAGCAGGTCACAAGAGAGTGACAAACATAC